GAAAGAAGGAAATAGTGAACAGGATCTAGTGGGAGAGAAAATTGTCAGAAAAAGTCACAGTGAGTGGGACATTGGGCCACTTTTCTCTAGATATGAGAGCCACCGTCCCAGGACAGAGGCGAGTCAGGGAGAATTTCCACTAATCAAACTAGGTCACGGGGCATTCAGGTCCACCCCAGGGTACAGCGATCTACGCCAAGCTTGGAGGCGCACAATTAGGAAAGCAAAGCAAAAGACAATGGGGCGACAAAACAGTCTCTGCCTTGTTCTTCATTAGGTGCGGGCCTATCATTTGAGGACTTAGTTTTCTTCTACAAAATGGGGATAATAGTAAGGCTTACATCCCATGATTATTATGTGGATTAAATAAAAATAATATTAGCAATAACACTTAACATTCTTCTCACACTTTATAATACCCAATAACGTAAAGCAGGCCATCACCTCATCCATTACAATCAACCACTTCTGCTGTCATTAGACAGTTAGACAAAGTGCGCCTATAATAGCCAAGCAGCAGGTCAACTTACGTGAGGAAAAAGTGCTCCAAGAAGGCCCAGCAGGAAGGGATCTGGTGTGAGGGTGAGGACTGGGGCTGTGAGGTGACAGGCTGGGCCAGTCACTTCTCCAAGCCTCAGTTTCCTCATCTGAAAAATGGAGGTAAGGCTGTGACCAGGTAAAGGAGCTGCCGCACAGAAAGCACTTCCATAGGCAGAGCCTGGCACAGAGTCAGGAGTTCAATGAATGGTAGAGCACATTGTTATTACCAGCAGCTCTGCCTGATATGAATTTTAAACAGGTTGGGAAACAAGCAGAAGTTAAGTACATTTTAAAGATGTGGTGAAGGAGAGACAAAGGCCAGAGAAGCAGAAGGCCCTGAGAAGAGGACATCACAGCAGCCATTTTGATGTCTGTCTATGGTCACACGAGCTAACGTAGGTGAACGTGTTCTGCGAGCCTAGGTGCCCTAGGTGGCATCATTGCTCTGACCGCATGTCTCAAGCAGCGTGATCATGGACACCCGCTCACTGCGTGCTAGTTGGGCTTTTGATTCCATCCGCACTTGAGGGCAAGTGGAGTTTGGTCCCAGGGAGCACACATTACTGGAGGAGGCAGAAGTCTGTGTGATCCTGGGGGTGCAGAGGGGGGTTGATCCAACAGGCAAGTATACCGAAGGCCACTCAGGACTATGGAGAAATCACGCGGAGCACTGGACCAAGGCCTGGGAGAGGAACCAGGAGACACAGGTCTTAAAACAAACCGGGACTTTGGCCAAGTCTCTTAAAATAATGGGCCTTGGTTTACTTATCCTACCAGTGGATAAAGCAATCCCTGCCCTGCTTTCCTCCCTAAACTTGGAGAGGATTTATAAAACAATGAGTTGATAAAACAATGGATATGAAAGTGTTTTGTAAACTCTGTAGTGACAGCACCTGGCAGGTGGCGGCCTACTTACACCAAGAACATGAATGAGGAGATAGAGAAGAGTCTCGGAACTTCAGGGAACGCGAGAGAGACTGGGCCCTGCACTGGGAGAGGGAAACGATGATGGCGTCGGTAACTTTGAAGGGCCGGGGACCAAGGAGTGAAGGGTCAATGAGTACTGGGCCCGGAACATCAGGAAGCTGAGTGTGGCAAGATTATGGCTTCTTTGGGGCTTGGGTGGAATAGAGTCAGCCCAAGACCACAGTAATTGAACTCCCAGGGATGCGTTTATCTGAAGGTCACACAGCAAGTTAGTTGCCAAGCTGGGACCAGAACTCAGGTTCTCCAGTTCCCAGTCCTATATCTTAGCTTTCTAAACGGGCTCAGTGTGTGGGAAGGAACAGAGGGGCAGGGTGAGATTTAAGGATGTGATTTCCTAGGTAAGAAGACCTCGTAAGCTAACAATGGCTCTCCCAGATGCCCAGTGATGCTTGACATTTCTCCTTTACTGACTCACTTGCAGGCCTTCAAGAGTCTCAAGGTTGGAGAAGTCACCTAGTCCACCTCCCTGGCCTGTCTCCCAAGGAAGGGTCTGCCGAACACTCTCACGACAGAGCATTCGTCATCTGACATGGTCCATGGAAGAAGGTTCTTCCTTAGATCCATCGGACACGCCTGTCTTACTGTAGCTTCCTACCATGTGCCCAGTCACACTGCCTTTAGTCACGTGCGTTCTGGTTCTCTGCCACAGGATAGCTCTCTGAATTATTGGGGACAGCTCCATGCCCTTCCCCTGCTTTGACTTTACAGACTACATCCCCCATCGCTGGTTCTCCATCATTCTTCCTCTTTATTTCCTGGTTCCTCTGCTCTGTACGTTCTCCATTCAGTCTTCCCCTGAAAGTGTTATCTGACATGTAAGGTATGCCGGGGGCACAATCATCAGAGCAAGAGCATATTTCCTTTGTCTTGGAGGCCATAGCTCCATCAGTGCATCCTCAGATCACAGTGATTTTTCTGCATTCACCAGACAGGCTCCCATTTAACGTATTGACTAAGACACCACAAATTCTTACACAGGCTCTGCCAAGCTCCAGCCTTGCCATGCCTCACACGCCAGCCTCCTGTCATTTCTTTTAGCAACCTAAGGGCAGGGCCTCAAACTCCTTGCCAGGAAATTCACCTTGTTTCATCCAACCCGCAATTCTTTGCAGCCCCCTTCTTGCTGGAACACGGTTCTGTATCCTCAGTGCATGCCTTCTCCCTCCCAGCTTTCTGCCCTCTGCAAAGAGGCCCTTTGCCTCTCCCTCCAATTACCAAGGACTCCTCCCCTGGCTCATCTGCTCCCTGGAATATGTGAGCCCACCCTCCCACCCCATGGGGTCTATAGGGCATAATGACATGGAACATGATGACACCCACGATGTTAGGTGACTAGAGCAGGACACCATTAAATTCTAAAAGACATAGAGAAAAGGCAGGAGATTATGACAAAGAGTTACGAATAGGAGCCTCTGTGTAACAGGACTGTAGGCGACTTTTTCCCATGCTTCATTACACTCTTCATCCCACTAATATTTTATGGAGGCCTTGTGTGTGTGTTTTCCAAATTTTCTATGCTGAGTATGTGTTATTTGGGAAATCAGAAAAATAAAGTGAAATAAAATGGAAAGAAATCAAGACTCTTTCCCTAGGAGGACCTTGGGGATTTCCTCGGCACTCTCTGGGAAGGGACGGTGGGCTCTCGCTGCACTGATTGTCCAGCCTTCCACCTGCATTGCTCCTTCTTTCCCACGGGGCATAGGAAATCTCCGTAACCCCTTGTGGGAGCCCAGGCATTCTCCCACCAGCCAGTGAGGGACCTTTGGTCCAGGAAGAGACATGTCGCCAGAAAAGAAACACAAGGACCAAGGGGAAGGGGGAGCAAAGGGATTGTCTAGTTGTGTAGCTCAAGGTCCCGGCTATCACTTCTGGTACCTTACCCGGTGTTGTATCTATTTATGGTAACGGTTCGAAGGCAGTTTTCCTGCCAATAGGTTTGTAAAAGGTGCAGAGAGAGCCTAAGTCCCATGGTCCCCTTGGGCGCAGCATTGAGAAGGGTCTCTAGGAGGTAAGAGAAAGGGCCCAGCCAAAGAAATGACCCACGTGACCCGCTTCCCAGACTTCCCAAGGCCGGACGTGGGACACAGTGCTGGGGCTCCCTCTCTCCTTCCTCCTCTCTGAAGGCCAAAGGTGTCCTGGAAGCATCGGGGTCCTGTGGCTCTCAGTCAGGAGAGACACCCGAGGTTCCAACATGCCCGGTGCAAAGCCTTCCCAGGCTTAGCTGCAAAACCTGGCCGGGGATTACCCTCCTCAGACCAGCAGAGGGCGCGCGCAACCCGCGAGAAGGCGGGCGCCAGGGCCGGCAAGGCTGGGAGTGGCAGGCATGGAAGGGGGGTTCCCTCCTGCTGAAAATGAGGAGGTAGATCCAGAGACAGCGATGGAAATATGTAGGAAGGGGGATCGGTTTGTGGGTGAGGGAGAGAGAGAAAGTCTAAATGAGGGTTAGAAGAGGTTGAAATGGGAGTGGCTAGGGAAAGGTTGAGATTGTGTGAAGATGAGACAAGGTGGGGCGGAGGTTGGGATGAGGTGAGGGGCAGGTGGAAGGATGGGTGAGATGGGAAAAGGTGGGGTGCCTATACATCTTGGGACGAAACTGGGGGACAGCAGCGTGAAGGGGTGGGTGGAAGGCTGGGTGGGGCAGACTGGAGTCCACTGCAAGATGAGTGTGTGTGGTGGAGGGCGGGCTGCAACAGGGTGGCCCCCCGCGCCGTGGGCTCCTGCTCCCCGCCAGCCGCGAGCGCCCAGCCTGCTTCCACCTCTTCCTCTCCAGCTCTTCCCCGGCAGGCCTTCCTGCTCAGGCCTCAGCTGGGCATCTCACTTCCTTCCTCCCCGAAAACAAAAGGTCCTGGTGCGGCAAAGAACTGAGAGAGGAGGCAACGGGAACTTGGGAGGTTTAATGGGTCTGGAAGGGAATAGAAACACACCGGGCCATCCTGCCGGAGAGCAGGGGTGGGAGGAAGAAAGGGGCCCGGAGGCCACCTAGGTGAGTCGTGGGGACGGTGGCCCTCACCGGGCCTGCTCCGGCGCCCAGAAGGCGCAGGTGGACTGCGAGGGGCCTCCGCCGTGCTGGGGTCGGGGCGGCGCCGTGGGGAAGAGAAAAAGTGAGAAGAGATTTGGAGTTCGAAAGAGGGGGGTCATAATGGAGGGGGCTTCCCAGAGCCAGGCCTAAGTACTGGTGGAGGGGAAGCCTGAAAACCTCCCTTCAGTGATCTGGGGTCTAGTAAGAGACGGAGCTTAGAAGAAGCGAAGGGACACAAGCACCCTCCCCAGGGGTTGGGAGGTGACGCGGGAAATCCACCGATTGAGAGGGCTTCGGGCCCCTCCCCTCAGGGCTGGGTGCGGCGAAGAACGGATTGAAATCTGAGGTCACAGGAACGGTGGGGAGGCTCCGGGGACCCTTCTCCAGGACTTGGAAGGGACTGAGCGATGCTCGGGGCGTCTGGGAGAGGCCGCGCGGCACCCCGCCGCCCCGTCTAGTGGTAATGGCCCCCCAAGTGCGAGGCGGCGGCCATAGCGCCAAAGGGCCCGGGCGGGGGTTGCAAGCCCGGGCTCGGGTAGAGCGCAGCCGTGGCGGCGGCGGTGGCAGCGGGGCCCGGGCCCGGCCAGTAAGAGAAGCCGGCGGGCGCGACGCCGGCGGAGGCGGCCATGAGGTTGAGTTTGGAGAGGCCGGGGAAGGGCAGCGGGGCGAGGCCGGCCGGCAGCTTGTAGAGTGCGCCGTCCTGGGCTGCGGCGGCGGCCGCGGCCGCGGCGGCGGCGGCCTGGGCGTGCGTCGGTGGCGGCTGGCAGGCCTGCGCCAAGCCCTGGAAGTCGAAGCGGTAGGCGTAGCGTTTGCCGTGCACCTTGCTCATGATGTTCTTGTCGTAGTAGTAGCGCAGCGCGCGGCTCAGCTTGTCGTAGTTCATGTTGGGCTTGCTCTTGCGCTCGCCCCAGCGCCGCGCCACCTCATCTGGGTCCGTGAGCTTGAACTCGCCGTGGCCCCCTTCCCACGCGATGCATCCGGCGTTGGCGCGGTCCGCCAGCAGCTCCAGCAGAAACTGCCACAGCTGGATCTGCCCACTGCCTGTGGGGAGGGAGCAGTCAGGCCCGGGCGGGATGAGGAGGCTGAAGGTGGAGAAAGTGGTGAGATGGGAGACTGGCCTGGCCCGCGGAAACCGGTGTCCGCGAGGAAAAGGACCCGTTCAGCTGGCAGCGGGGCGCAGCTGAAGCGGCTGGCCAGGGAGGGGCTGATCAGCAAAGCTCTCCTACCATGAGCGTGCTTTTCCACGATGAAAACACGCCTCCCACTTAGGAGACGCAGCCGCGCGGGCGCGTCGCTTTGCGAGAATCGGGAGCAGAGGGAGAAGCATCACCTCCTCTGTGTGGAGGCAAAGGCACATTAAGACACTGGGCTCTCCGAGGTGAGCAGGGACAGGACATCAGCCCCTGTGGCCACCTGGGCCTGGAGTCCTAATTCAGGGCCTGCACAACCCCAGGCGGCAGCCTGCACAGACATTTAGACTGCCAGATCCCAGCTGGACCGCATCCAGAGATCCAGAGAGAAGGGGCAGGCGTGGCGCAGGACCACCCAGGCCACTGGACAAGGCCCAGCCCCTAAAGGCATACAATTGGACGGCCCACCAGAGGTGCCGAAGAGACGATGGCTGGCTTCCAAGCAGTCCCACATCAGATGGGGTTGGGGACAGCCGTCTCCGAGCCGTGAGAGGAGGGGCAGCCTCTGAGGCCTCTCCACCCCCGCCATGGTCTGGTGTGCACAATGCCGCGCTGGCGCTAGACAGGTTCGGTTTCTTTTTTCGGAACAGGCGGGATTCTGGGCCTAAGTTGTCATGCTTCCCTAGGAGATGCATAGCTCTAAGGAGAGGGACCAAGACCTTGCGGCCTCTGTGCTTAGCTCCCTGCCTTCTCCCATCTTCTGTCCATCTCTAGGCTTGTCTGCCCTCTCCTGATTCTGGCGTATTGGAAGCTGCAAGGAGGTTCTTCCCAGATATTCATGTGATGAGAGTGACAGGCTCCCATACTCCCACTCCCCTGTCTTGGAGACTCAATCAGACAAGTGGAGAAAAATCTTGATACAGTCACCACCACCACCCCCTTTAGAATAAAATAGAGTTTCCTCAAAGGTGTCTGATTATTGCTTCAAATCGAGCCTGGGGAGCCTCTCTTCCTTTTTCAATGGCTCACTCAGAACCCAGACGCCGCCCTCCACAATTCCAGCCCCAATCCCACTGCAGGAGCCTAGTGAGGAGCTGCCTGGCTCCAGGTAGGGAGTGTTGAGTTTTAGGGCCAGAAGCAAAGGAAGGTTTGGGTAAAAATGTGTAGCTGGTACAGATGCAGAGCGGCATCAAAGGCTTGGAAAAGCATTCCTCTTGGGAGTCGTGTTCCCTTTCGAATAAAGCTGTTGCCAACCTTGTTTTTACGCTCACTGTAACCGTGAGATTTAGGGTACTGACTGGGTAGGGGGCTATAGGGAGGGCTTTGCTTGGAAGGCCAGTAAGTCCCTGCCATCAACAAGGCAAAGCAGAGAGTAATCTAGCTACCTGCAGAGAGCTGGCTTCGAACCTAGAAATCAACTGCAATGACCCAGCAGACTTGGAAGGCAGGGAGGAATGGCGGGGGGAGGAAGGCGATGCTGGCCATTGCTGTTCTGTGAGACAGGTAGGTGCTGGCCCCTGTGCTAGCAGTCCCAGTGGCCAGGGAGTAAATCTTCAGGTCCCTTGGACCAGTGGTGCAGGGTGGGGGGAGGAGAGCTTGCATTCCTGTTGCTTGCAGGGGAAGGATGCCAAGCACCTCAGCCCTGTTCCCTAAAGGGCGAACGAAGGCCAGGATTCTCTCCCCTTGCCCTGGCCTGCAAGTCCAGTGCTGAAACTGGGAAGCTGCAGAAGCTCAAGGCCAAGTGAATGCTCCCCCAATCCTCCCCACAATTATGACCGGACCCCCGCTTCCTAGAGCTTTGCAGAGCATGCATATCACTTCCATCCTCTGTTCTGGGAGCGGTAGCGCCTGTCTTCCTCTGGTGGGTGCCCTGGCTCCCGTTCGCTGTCCGCGCCCCCACCCACCCAGCCCGCCAGCCGGCTCACCTTTTTGGACGGCAGGGCTCAGTGGACCCCACCCCGGGCTCTTCCCTTCCTTGAAGAGACCGTCTCCGACGGGATCTGTGGCAGCAGAAGAAAACAGTCAGGCGGACACAGGCGGAGGTTGTGGGCTTGACCCAAAGGACCCCGGGGCCAAGGCTCGAGAAGGGGTGCCTTCGCTCCCGGCGTGAGCCTGGGGGCCCGAGCTGCCCGGCTCCTCCTCCTGGAGCCTGGCCCCGGCGCGCGCCGCACAGAGCCCCTCCATAACGCCCAAGTCAGGAAACGCGTCCAGGAAAAAGGAAATCCGTTTTCCGAACGGGCCGGCGGGAGCCTTATAAAGCCCAGCCGGGACTGCGCCAGCTGAGCCGAAGCGCACGGAGACCATCGGAGAGGAGAGGAGAGGAGGGCGCCTGGAAGGCTGGGCCGGTGGGAACGCTCGGACGACGGAGGTGAGGAGCCACGAGGGTGCAGGGGCGGCGCCCGGCGGACCGCAGCTGCCCAGCACCGCGCGCGCACTCAGTCCCCCACCGCAGCGAAGATCCCTGTCCCCCCCTCCGGGCTCTGCCAGCCCCTGAGCTGGCGCCCTCGGCCTCCTGGTCTCCCGAACTGCTCACTTCGAGGCTTCTAGACCTCACACGAAATCTCCAAAGCTCCCCGTCTGCTTTTAACGTCCTCCCATGCCCTACATTGCTTCATCCTTCCAGCAAAGCAAGTCTCTGGACCGCGCCCCTTCCCTTGGACCCTAGCAATCCCTTTCCCGTGCCCCAGACCAGACTTCCAGCCCCGGGTCCCAGTGCCTCCAGCCCCCGGCTGGTCCCTGGTACCTGGCAGGTACATGTTGATCAGCAGGGGCTGGGAGGTGCCGCTCTGTCTCATCGCCGCCAGAGGCTGGGCGGTGGGAGGTGGGGGGGGGCGGGATGAGAAAGGGGGGACGCGTCAGGCTTTGCGCTCCGGGGTACCGATTCCCGCCCGCGGCGACCGTGGGTAACTGGGAGATGAAGACAGCGCCAGGTCCAGCAGGGCCTGGCGGGAGGGGGCTGGCCGGGTGTGGCGGGGGATGGTGGGGGTCCTGGAACGACGCTCCAAGCCACAAGGCAGCTTGGAACCCTCCGGCCCCCGGCGCGGGCAGGGGCCGCAATTTCCGTTTTAATTAAAGCGCTGTCGCCTCGGCCCCCGGGACCCCGCCCCCGCCCCTCTTATCGCCCCATCGCAATAAAGTCTCCAACACGCCGCGCAGCAGCCATGGGCACCCGGCAGCCCCCCGCGCCCCGCAGCCGGGAGACGCGCGGGGGATGGGCCTGGGCCTCGCGCGCTGACAAGGGGTCAGGAGCGCGTTTCTTTTCCGCCTCCCTGACTCTCGGCAAACATCGGTGGGGCGGAGTACCCGGCCCCACCTCGGACTCCCAAAGCCGCAGCTCCTTCTTCCCGACCATTCCCACCCACCTCACCGCTCCACTCTCCTCCCCCTTTCTCCCCCCCACCCCCACCCGGGTTCCCGTCTCCAGGCTGCGTTATCTGCATCTTCACTTTTAAATTTCCGCTTCCCTCCCTCTCTCCCGTCGCTGCGCTCCCGGCCGGGCAGCGGTGGCTCCCTTTATCTCCGCAACCCCCTCCTGGAGCCTTCTCCCTCCTCCTCTTCTCCCACTCTCTGCTCTTCCCTAGAGACCTGGTCTCCTTCCCTGTCTGCCTCTTGCTTTTGCCCGATTCCAGCCTTTCCAGGGCTCCCGGGCCTTCGGGCCAGCGCTGGGGCGTCTCCCCCACAACTTCAAGTGGGTTGCCCCTCCTCCTCCCCCTTTCTAGGCCTCTCCTCTTCCGATTTAGTCTTTCCTACTCCCATCTCCCCTCCTGCCTCCTTTCTTCCCCTCTGCCCTCTCTCTCGCCTTCTCCTTTTCTCATTCATCCCCTCCCCCCCACTAATGTGTGGCATAAAGTGAGCTCAAGGCCCCTCTTCGGCTTCCGGCCACAGCTATTGCTCTCCCCACCTTCCCATTCATTCCCTGCCTTTCCAGCCTAGCATCCACCCCCACAACTACTGCGCCCTCCCCGTTATCCCTGAGTCAGGTGGGAATTGGCACCTTGCTCTTCTTACAGGAGTAGAGGGGCTGAAACAAGGTTGTGTACTGTACATTGACACCTAGGGGGAGTGGGGGCCGGAATCCACTCCAAAAAATGGACAAAGACGCTGATTTTGTATTAGCAAAACTGATGTGGTTCCCAGGTGGCTTGGAGTCGCTGGGTACCTGTGGGGCTTCCTGACTCTCAAGAGGCCGCCAAGGAAGGATGCTGGCTACAGACAAGGCTCTGGGCCAGGCTGCGCGTTGGAACCGAACCGGTACTCTCGGGACCTTTTTCTCCCACTGCCTGAGCCCAGGAGGCGAGGAGGCCTGGGCCTCCAGTGCACACGGATTAGAGTGGGCAGGTTTTCTGTACAATCCCTGGTCCTGGGGTGGGTGCCTGATCGAGAACGGCTGGAAAGTCTAAGTCCTTGGGTTCTTGATATAACTAGAGTGTCTGTCTTTACCTGTGGAAGGAGCAAAGGTCCTAAGGAGCCGCGGTGGAGTGTGGGAGGTAGAGAACAGAGGGAAATGAGGAATCCCAAGTGCCCAGAAAATCCTAAAGGGACAAGGATGGGGGCTTCAGTATGTGGCTGTGGAATCCGATGGAAGCAAAGAGAGGTTGGGATGCTCCTTGGGGACCAAACTCAGAGCTTCACAGGAGGGGATGACCTTGAGGGTGGGGCTGAGGTCCCATACATCTTCTTCCTGCTTGCTTGTCACTTCCCAAGACAGAAAACAAGGAGTAGGAGGTAGAACTGGGAGAGAGGGGAGGCACCAAGGTTCAGCCTCTCCGTGCTCTCAGCAGAAGGCGAGGCAGAAAGGAGGCTCTCAGGGTGAGGGGTCTATCCAGGCCGCCCTGGCCCCACTGAGGACTCAGGTATTAAAGGGGTGGGTGGGCTGCAGGAAGAGCTTATGTAGGAGCGTGAACGGGTGGGGTGGCGGATGAGAGTTGCCCTCCAACCCCACTTAGGTGTTGGCTGCACGCGTAAGAAATTGCCCTTCTCCATCCCTAGTGGCCTTTGGCTGAGTGCAGCCAAGGAGCCCGTCCCAGCACCTGCAGACCCCACAGGGCTCTGCAAACCACCAGCCTGCCTGGAGTGGGGAGGTGAGAACACTCAGGCCCAGCCTGGCCTCTGCGGGTCCCCTGCTCCTCAGGTGCCAGTGTGGGGAGCAGAGTCCCACCCCTGCTCTGGCAAGACAGAAGTGGTTACAAATACCAGCTCCTGCCACTCCCTGGTTGTGCAGTGGAAGCACTGACACCCAGGGACAGGGGTGCCCTGTCCAGGGCCACACTGCCAGTTCCTGAAGCCCTGCTGACTCTTCCCAGCAGCCGCAGACCCTCCTAGAGGGAGGGGAGCTCAGCCCATGGTGGTGACCAGATTTCCCTTTGCCCATTGCCTGTCCCCCAAAACAGGGAGTGGGGAGAGGGGCTCCTGGACTCCGAGGCCAGTTTGTCTGGGTTCAACTCTGGGTACCCTGTTTTTTAGTTTTTGACTTTTGGAAAAGTCACATAACTTCTCTGTCTTAGTCTCTTCACTTGTAAAATGGGGATTACAGTGCCTACCATACAGAATTTTAAGGCTTATGCAAAGCACGCTGCATGCTCAGAAAAGACTATACATTTAGGTATTGTTATTATTACCATCCCCCTGTCCCCCACAGGAGACAGGAGCCTGTGACCAGGCAGGAAGCCCGGATGCCTTTGGGCCCCGCAAAGATCTGGAGCGCCGCTGAGGCGTGAGGCTCTAAGCCACAGCTAAGGTCAGCTCCGCTTAGCCGGGATTTGGTCAGGAGCCCTTGTTCAAGTAACTGATTGTGTGGGTGTCTTCACTGAGGCTTCTCCCTTTCAGAGGGGCTCAGTTTCTTTCTTGGTGAAATGGACAAAGCACGGAATGTGCTAGGGGAATCCACCGCAGCAGGGACCATGGACCCTGCGCCCCATCCGGAGCTCTGTCCCTTGGTTTCCGGACCTAACCCATTGGGCGGGGGGAGGCGGGGAAGGAGGGTCCTAGGCGATCGCCCCAGGGCTCTCCTGTAACACCACAAGCACGTTCAGGGGGTCCTCAGTGAACCTTCCCAACACCCCTGTACAGGCACAGACCAGGCAGGCAGCAGGAGCCCCAGTTTACAGGAGAGGGAACTGAGGCTCAGAGGTGCTCTGTGACGGGGCCTGATGTCTGGTGTCGCTACCTCTGGTTCAAGGCTCTTCCAGAGGGAAGCAGGTGCCCGACTTTGCGCAGCTGGGTCCAAGGGGACTGCCAGGGCCAGGCCTGGTTGGTCTCCAGTGGAGCCTCGCCTCCCCTGGGCCGGGGCAGTGCTCTGAGCCACCCTCCCCATTGATAGGTCCACTAGGGCCTTGAAAACCCAAGGATCCCCGAGGGACAGGATGAAAGAGTCCCCAGGGCCTTGGAGGCCCCGCCAGTGTGGGACCGAGAATATTATTATTAACTGGACAAAAGAGGACACTGGGAAGAAACTACACTGACAACAGGGGCCGTGTTGGCTGCTGCCACACTCAGTCCCGCTGTGTCTGTGGGCTTCGGCCACCTGCCCCAGAACCCAGGCTCACAGTGGTCGGTGGCTAAGGGGTTGCCTCTCCAGCTCACCAGTTCTCTGAAGAGTGAGGAGAAAGAGGATAGAGGGGGGTTGTTTGGAAGAGCAAGAGAGGAGGGGTATGAAAGTGTTTTGTAAATGCTGGAGCTCAAACCGCTTGAGGGATCAAGGTCTTTATTTTTCAGACAAAACGTCTGGAGGCTCTGCTCAGAGAGAGGAAGTCTCCCCCTTAGAAGGTCCTGGTAGACAGCGGAACTTTCCACTAATTTCTCCTCTCACACCCTTGCCCTTCTATAAGGCAGAGAGCCCATGAAGCTGGGAACAGGGTTCAGGCTTCCCTAGCTGAAGAGGGAGCTAGGGCGACAAGGACACCTTTTAGAGAGGAAGCCAACAGAGCTCTGCATAGAGATGAGGAGGTCCTGCCCCGCCCGATGGTGCCTGTCCCAGGGGGTGTGTGCAGGTCGAAATTCAGCTTTGAGCCCTGCTGTGGGGTGTGCGCTCCCCAACCAGAGGACGGCAAAAGTGCCATTTGGCCACAGCCCCCTGGCCGGGCCGATGGGCATTCACCAAGGAGCAGTGTGGGACTGGGTGTAATAAACAGGACGCCCAAGCAGTCTCTTCCCGGCCCCATCGCAGTCTAGCCGCACACATCCTAAGTCAGTTTGTGCTCCATAACCACGGGTTCTGGGGCCTGAGCGGAGGGTCAGGTTGGCAGGGAAGGATCTCAGAAAGATGAAGATAAAAATCACAAAACATGACACCAAAAAAGGGGCAAGAGGGGCAGGCAGCTTCAGGAGGCTTTATTGAGGGTCCTTATGGGAGGTGGGGGGGCGTGGGGATTATTGCTGGACCCGTCGAATGGACTGCAGCTGCCCAGTGTGGGCCTGTGTGCCAAACTCGCTGTAGGTGCGGAACTCCCCGCCATGCCGGTCCTGCTCTAATACATACTGGTAGCCCCGGTAGCCTGGGTACTGGTAGGCCACCCACCTAGACCAGAGAGAGCAAAAGGGTGGTAAGTAGGCTCTGAGCCCATGCCCACCCATGTCCTCCATTAGAAGTTCTCCTTTCTCAGCTCCAAACCATTGCTTCAGTTTTTCCTACAAGGATCTCTCCCTGCCCTTCTCACCGCCCACCCCTCCCTATCACATTCTTCACCTTGTCTCCTCTTCCCATCTTCCATTGCCTCCTCCTCTAAGTTTTCAATCCCTCCTGATATCCCCGTATCATTTCCCTGACTCTAATTCTCCTGTCATCTGCCCCATCCTTCCCAGACTGTCTCCACCATCTTATTTCCTTCCCTTGCCTCCAAGCCTCCCATTACCCCACTGCCCTCTGTCTTCCAGCCTCCAATATCTCTCTTACTATGTCTCAGCACGCCCATCACCTTTCCTCACCCTCTTCCCTGGTCCCATTTCC